ATAGTGAAAAAAATTCGATAATAACTCATGACGGTTCAGTATACTAATAGTAATATTAATAATAATAATAATAATGAAGTTCATTTCAAAAACACGCTTCATCCCCAAAGGCTCGAAGCGCGGTACAATGTCAACAAAATACAAATCTATAATTTACCACATTTAAAACAAACGCAACTCTACAAAAACTAATTACTAGCATACAATTGCAAAGTCTTTCTAGCCATTTCAACCCCAATATTAATAGCCTACATCCAACAATAATTTTTCACCAGTCTAGATCTAATGCATTATATGATTATTCGCAGATTTCGGTCTGCCGATAACGCTAAACATTATTCACAGAGCTGTGTGGATAACGCTCGCCGTTATTCACAGATTTCGGTCTGCCGATAACGCTAAACGTTATTCACAGAGCTGTGTGAATAACGCTTCCCTTTATTAATTATTCATGTGCCAAAGTTGAAAGTTTAAAATAAGTCGACCCTAAACAGTATTTTAGTGATAAGGGAATGCGTTGCCTTATATAAACTATATAGTCATTGCGCATGACGCGATCAGCGGAATGAGGTCACAGAATGTGGAGATGCAGTCTATGTTAAAAAAGGACAAACCAAGTCGTACTTTAAAAATTCATAACTTTAAAACTACAACAGCTAAAAATATGATTTTGGTGTTATAATTATGTTTAAAATTAGCTCTATTCAACTGTGCCATTTGTTTATTTTTAAAAAATGTTTAAATTTTTGACCAAAGTATCTACTTTTACCTTAATATACTATACTAATAATTAAATACTTACTAACAAATAATACTAATAGTACTTTTACTTTTTACTTATACTTAACTTATATAGTGATGCATTGAATGATAAAATATTATGTGAATGTGATGATTCTATGTCAACAATATATGTATTATTGTCAATCACTATTGTAGTATTACTATTAGTATTGTATTCTCAGTCAGTATTTGATGCAGTCTGTAACTGTAGTACTTGTAGCCTTTAATTTTACTTTTACGGTAAATTTGGAGAGATGTCGATAAATTGTTATATTTCTTAATTGTAAAACTTGGTTTGAATGAGGATCAAAAATAGTTTGTCTTACCGTCTTCTTCTTCCTTTTTGTCTCTTTTTAGAGATAACATTTTGGGCTTTTAAGAAACACGCAGCGAAGATCCCTTCACTCACAAAATACTATATTTTATTAACTTCCAACAAATCGGAGTACACGTCACACAGTACTTCTGTAAGTATCTTATTTTTCCCCAGGAGCATGCGCAAGAGTAACTTCCCTGTATTGGTTTTAAGATAGAAAATGGGGAGGGGAATGGGGGAACAGGCCATATAAAACAGCATTCAGTTAAAGAAAAGGACAAAACAAAATCTGAATTTAAATAATTTTTAAACTTCATATTAGCTGGTTTAAGTTGCCATATATATATATTTACTTTATAAAGCTCAGCGTGACTATGTATTTTAATTGATTTCTTTAAAGCAGAAAAACAAACAATGTATCGCAACCAAATTTGACATACTAAGTCATACTTCCTAGCCTAAAAACCTAAAGATTTGTCACATATGAATACCCTAGCCTATTCGCACCCGGGTACCAGAAGTGAGAGGTTGGGATTTTAAAAAATCTATTTAAAATATTATTGTTGGGTTTGTAAGACAAAATGAGGTTTTGTAAGACAAAATGAGGTATCAAATGAAAGGTAATTGAATGACCTAAATGTTTGTAAACGTATTTCTTCAGTTTAACTAAAACAAACTACCACAAATGACATCCGAATAGCATTTAGTGAAAATGGACCAGGACACGCAGCAAGGCCATTCGCAACCATGTCCCATTAGACTCCCATCTCTAACCAGCTGTAAGACTTGTTAAAATTAGGCATACTGTGCAAATGTAATTTATGTAATTTTAAAAGTTCTGTCATAACTAAGGAAGCTAATAAACTTAACTGTAGTGGCGTAGGCCTAGATATGATAAGTGCCGCCTAGGGCATGTCAGGATTTTTGTTCCCCCCACCATTCTAACTTCTCCGAAAAAAAAACAAAAAACCCTGCAGTTGGCCTAAAATGCTGCCCTTCATAAAAAAAAGTTATGCTCAGGGTGGACCGCCCCTTTCACACCCCCATCCCAAAACGTCACTGCTGTACTAGACTACTTTGTTTTTGTTAGCAGTCCTTTCTTGTATAATTAATTTATTTTGCAAAGGTGTTTGAATCGTGCCAAGTAATAAACTTTTTTAGTTATCCACAATGTAACCATAATTGTTTTATTATTATAATAAATAATATTATTATAATAATAATAACTCAACAGCCTCAAGCAGGGATCAAGTCCTGGGAAAAGAAAAGGGGGGTTGTGGGGAGTAAAGAAGTCAAGAAAGATCGCCCCTCCCAAAATGAATAGCCTAAATAATAATATCTTGGCAAAGAAAAAGAAAAACAAAACAAAACAAAAAACCGTAACTATTGTTGCCCCTCGTTCCTGCAAGACTTGACACCTGACCCCAAGAACATTGCTCTTATGAGTGGCACACAAATCTTAAAATGTGCACCCGAATTTTCAAGTACCCCCCACCCCACCACAATTAATTATGTCAAACATTGTTTACCCTCCCCCCCCCAGCATAAAAATATAAACAAATAAATACAGAAATTGTAACAAATCCTTTATATTAACTTTGCGTTTGTTCGTGGCCGGAAAAATATTCGGACGACTAAATGGCACACTTCTGGTCAACCTATCGAGATGAAACTTGGCATATAGACTCGTTGCCGATGACAACAGATTTAACAAATTTTTCTGCCCTACTCCCAAACCCCCAATATCATTTTTTACTGTTTTTCAAAGGGAACATGAAGGAAATATGATGAAACTGATTTCACGAAAAAAAAAAAAAATCACAATAACAGCGCTAAAAGAGATTTATAAAAAAAAAATAGATATCACAAGTGCTTAGTATTTTATTTTATTTTTCTGAAATTAATTTTTCTGCCCTATACCCAAACCCCCAATATCATTTTTTAATGTTTTTCAAAGGAAAAATAAAGGAAAAATAATGAAACTAATTTCACAAAAAAAAAAAAAAAACACAATAACAGCGCTAAAAGAGATTTATAAAAAAAAAAAAATAGATATCACAAGTGCTTAGTATTTTATTTTATTTTTCTGAAATAGTTGTTGAAATAAATCTGCGGTGTAAAAGCATGTGGGTCATTAGAATATTAAAATAGTTCAGGGGTGTGAAAAAATGTGTTGTTGCGAGCCGGGAGGGCTGGGGGAGAGCACTAAATGGGATTCTTATAAATTACGTTACTTGAATGCAAGTTTTGTCAAATTTTCAGCCTCACCATCATTCAATATTACATTTTATAAAGGATTTATATGAAAAACATTGTTTTTAGGGATTATTTAATTAATGCTTAAGTTAAGCTAGAAAAATCGGCGTGGAACAAAAATTTATTAAATTTTTAAAAGCTCCTTTAACACTCCATAAATTTGTAAGAGTTGATTTGTCTAGAGCTAATTTTATATTGCAGAGGTAGTTAAAGAATTGATAAGAGCTAAATAGTGTAAGTGAATTTATATTGCTAGTATTTTTTAATATTTACGTTGATAAACGCTTCTCTTTTTGCAATGGCGCATCCGCATAGTAACTGATTTTATAATTTCCATATTAAAATTATTAGGGAACCGGCTGACATCATCCTTGACTAGTCTAAACATCCAGCCCTTAAAATATAAGCCTTTTCTCTTTTGTCCAACAATCGCCACCAACTTTCCCTGTTTTTTTTGTTTTTTTGGTAACCATTAAAAAAGGCTAGTTTAAGGCCACATTATTTTGTTTTACTTTTTTTTTTTTTTTGTAGGAGCAGCCGGTAATTTCAAACATCATCTTACCAATTGAAATTATCCGAATTATTATAGCCATTAAAATTAACAAATAATTTGCAAAACACTATGATAATAATTAATTATTTAAAAAAAATTATACATACATATCAAAGAAAAAATAGAATTTTTGACATCAAGTTCTATTTACTCCGCCCCCCCCCCCTTGTCAACAATTACATTTTCCCACCCTCTCCCGCTTTTATTTTGTCGATGCAAATAATGGATGACCCTCAAAGAGACGTCTGTCAATTTGCCCCCCCCCCCCTTTCGTGGTGTAATACAGAGCTCCTAGTCCTAGTGACACCCCTGGCCCTGGGAATTTTATCGCGCATGATACTAAAGAAAACTCATTTTTGTAACTCCTGTGAGTCTTAAGGGGAGACTATGTTTTTCAGTATTAATTATATTATATAATTTATTAATTGTAAGTAACTCAAAATAAACTGAGCCACCCTTCCAAGCTGGCACGTGTTGACCCTTCAGCAAAGCTGATATATCTAATGGACGTGAGCGAATTTATATTTAAGAAGAGAAGCATTTTCTCTTTCAGCTAACATATTTTTATAATCGATGTCATCCGAAATGTTTCGCTTATATCGAAAAAATTGATTATACATTTTAGTTTCCATTTAGCCCAATGTTGATTGCACGTGACCACCAGTTTCCATGACGTCACCATCATGACGTCGGCGGATAGGGGTCGTGCCTGGCAACCGGAGGCCATTCTTTGATTTAGCAACAGTAGAGCGATTTTTATCATCGCTCGTTAGTGCTGCTGCGGATTAATTACAAGTGTTTTATTTCAATTTTTTGGATTTCTGTGCAAGTATTTTAAAATGTAGTGGTTATAAAGAAAAATGAGGTGTGTGAGGCGTTTATTTGTTCGTAAACGATGGAATTATGACAGCTAAAATAAAACCTCTGCTTGTGCAGCAGCGTCCACCGCTGATTTCAACTACAATGTACACACACACAATTGAAGGTAGCCACTCGCACCATCTCCCACCATTGGCTAGTCAGACAGTTGGTGGTGGGAGTAGTGGTCATGGTGTACGTGTCCAGCAGTTATTTGAAGACCACAAACATCACACAGAGAAGCGCGAAGTTATTCAAAATGGCGGCGGTGGGGACGACCAGTCCCTATCTCAAGTCCCTCGTCCAAGTTCTAGTGCTGGTAGCACTGGGAGCAAAGGCTCTGGTGTTAGAAGAGGAAACAGGATGAGCCCAGAGCTAGCGATGAAGCAATACATGCACAAACTCAGTTCATATGAACATCATGAAATTTTTAGTTATCCAGACATTTATTTTGTTGGTCAGAGTGCCAAAAAGAAGCAAGGAGTCATAGGAGGATCAAACAACAATGGGTATGATGATGAAAATGGATCCTATGTGCATGTGCCTCATGACCATATATCATATCGCTTTGAAGTCCTGAAAGTTATTGGAAAAGGTAGCTTTGGTCAGGTAGTCAAAGCTTATGATCATAAAACTCAAATACATGTTGCTTTAAAAATGGTAAGGAATGAGAAACGCTTTCATCGACAAGCCCAAGAAGAGATTAGAATTTTGGAACATTTGAAAAAGCAAGATAAAGATAACAATATGAATATTGTTCACATGTATGAAAATTTTACATTTAGGAACCACATCTGTATTACTTTTGAGTTGCTTAGCATGAACTTGTATGAACTTATTAAAAAGAACAAATTCCAGGGCTTTAGTCTACAGTTGGTCCGAAAGTTTGCTCACTCAATCCTGCAGTGCCTGGATGCCCTCTTTAAGAATCGAATAATTCATTGTGATCTCAAGCCTGAGAACATTTTGCTCAAGCAACAAGGCCGGAGTGGTATTAAAGTTATTGACTTTGGTTCAAGTTGCTACGAGCATCAGAGGATCTACACTTACATTCAGTCACGGTTTTATCGTGCTCCAGAAGTAATTGTTGGTGCCAAATATGGAATGCCTATCGATATGTGGAGCTTGGGTTGTATTCTTGCTGAACTTTTGACTGGCTATCCCCTGTTTCCAGGTGAAGATGAAGGTGACCAGCTGGCGTGTATTATTGAGCTGCTTGGCATGCCTCCGCAGAAGCTTTTGGATCAGGCGAAGAGAGCTCGCAATTTTATTTCATCTAAAGGATATCCAAGGTACTGTACTGTTAACACATTGCCTGATGGCAGCACAGTGTTGCAAGGCGGACGTTCACGAAGAGGAAAAACGCGAGGTCCACCTGGGTCTAAAGATTTAGTCACAGCTCTAAAAGGTTGTGATGATCCTATGTTTTTGGATTTCATGCGGCGAGCTTTAGACTGGGATCCTCAAAATCGCCTTACACCTACTCAGGCATTGCGTCATGCCTGGCTGAGGCGACGTCTTCCCAGACCCCCAGCTTACAACGGAGAAGTGAAATCTGAATCTGCATTGAGGAGAAATTCTTCCGGCAACCGCAGCTCAGGCATGCCAAAATTGGCAAATGGGACAATAGCCACTGCCAGTGGAAAATCACGCCAACTTGCTATTCAAGATGACTTAGCATCACAGCTGAACACTAGAACAAAGTTACCCCAAATAGGATCTACAATGTAGAGCTTCATTTGAAACATATTGTTATAATTTCTTATGAAATACAAAAAATGAATCTAGTAATATTATATATAAAAAAGCTATTTTGGTATAATGTTTTGAAATTGTTTATGTTGCTATTGATATATTATTTCTCTACACTTTTACATCCACCACCAAAATATCAAACACTTTTTATATGGGACTTCCAATTGTTCTAAGGCAAACTTAAAGTTAAAAACTTAATCACTAGTTAGTGTGTGGAAAAAAAAAAAATTATGACTTGGGATTCTTTTGAAATGTCTAAAAGAAAATACTTACAAATAGTAATATTTATAATACCTATCAGAGTTTAATTTTTGTATGTATTGCGTCAATGGCAGTTATAACATTTTAAACCTATGGAGGCTTAGTATGAATTCTCCATTATTAAAAACGGTAGTTATCAGTTCACTTTGTCTTAATTAAATTTTTCAAGAAAAATTTGGTCTTTTAAACCTATATTTTTATCCCAATCATAAATTATTAATTGCTTAAATAAAGTTTTACATCTCATTTTACAAACTATCAGTACACATGACTATTTTCTTATTCTATAATATCTTGTTGTTATTACCTAACGAATTGACTAATAACCCCTCCTTAAGACATGTAGCAGTCAAATATATTTGGTCAATTTTTGACTTAAAGATACAAAAAAAATTTTTTTTCTTTAATACAGGTACCAAAAATTGAATGTTTTATTTTAAACGTATTGTATTTGATACATATATGCTTTACTGAATGAAATTAAATAGATAATTACTTTCTTTAATGTCAATGACACTTCCAATTTTATGTGAAAGCTATTGTTTTTATTTATTTATTAGATAAAATAACCATTTTTTAATACAATGAAAACGGTTATTGCTCCAAAAATTAGTAGGTGTTTAAATTATATGTTGGATATTTAGCTGTTTGCTCTGTTTTTAGCTGTATTATATCTGAGTTGCTGTTTTTTAAAACTCAAATTAATTTTTTATTCATTTGTTTTTTCTTCTTTTGATTGTTTTTTTTTTAGTGTTTACTTTTTGAATTTATTTAAAAACATTGGATAGTAATAAAAGGGCCATAAAAAGAAATATATATCTAATTTCATACCTTAAATGAAAGTCAGTCAATAAAAATTGAATCAGTGGTCTAATGGATAATTTGAAAGCCCAGGGGCTACAACACATGCACAAATTATTATTAATATTATTAACTAATTAAGCATTGTGTCTGCTGTCTTATTACAATATTTAGCTCACATCCCTTTAAAGTCTTCATGAGAAAGCTTGGAGTGTCCCTGCTATAAAGTTATAATTATAAGCAAACGTATTTAGCAAAAACATGTTTTATTTTCTTTGTATTTTGAATCTCTGATTAACAAAAAAGATTTTTAGATCTTCCTAAAAAAATCTCATATTAATCTATTTAATTGCGTGTCTATTAATGATGATAAAAACATTGCTACATTTTACTTTTTAATTAATCAAAAATGTTATGGAAAGTGTGGTATCCTTTTTAAAATGTATTTGATTTGTTATATTTTAGAAGCATCTTTTTGTACTTTAAAAAAATCTTCAGTACCCTTTTAAGAGTTCTAATAAGATTGATAATATTTTTTTTACCTTAAAGCTCTTTATCTCTACCCATTCTACTCCGTCACAATTTAATTTGTATTAAGGATAAGATTTATTGGTCTTCACCCTCCCAAACTTATTCATCTCCACCCATTCTACTCCATCACAATTTAATTTGTATTAAGGATAAGATTTATTGGTCTTCACCCTCCCAAACTTCTTCATCTCCACCCATTCTACTCCGTCACAATTTAATTTGTATTAAGGATAAGATTTATTGGTTACCCTCAAAGCGAGCTTAAGTGAGGAATGCATTCAGAAATTAGCCAATGTTAATAATTATCCTTTGTTAGTGTTATCATAATTAATATATTATAAAATAATAGAAGCTTAGGATGGGAAATGGACTTGATAAATAAGATGCATTTTTATTTAAAAAAAGCATCTAAAGAAATGAAATTTAAATAGGTTACATGTTTTTAATAATTGTAAAGCGCTTAGAGCTGTAAGGTAAGCGCTATATAAAATTGCCTAAATAAATAAATAAATAAATCACTTAAATACAGTACTACTTTCTTTAGGAGTTCCAGTCAAACAGGTAAATACATGGGGTTTCACTTATTGTTGTCCCTGGACAGCTTTTAAATAATTTTGTATAAGAAACATGAGTTGTTCAATTGCATACACAGATTCATTGTTTAACAGAATAAAATGAGGATGGCTTTACACAGTGAGACAGCCAAGTCCATTGACTAATTCATTGGTTGCAGACATGTTGTGTTCAGCACAATGAACCCAGTCCCAATATCCTTGTGAGACAATGTTGGTTGCCACTCCTGCCTGCTAACACAGCTGCTTTCTTGCTCTATATCCCTGTGATATTTTGACAACATTATGTTTACTAGTTAAAAAGTTTTAAGGGACAACTTGGGCTCAACAGTGAGTGAAACCCCCTGTATATTTTCAAGTAAATTTTATTAAAGTTTGATCTCTGATAATATTGTGTGAAATATTGATACATTCAAATAAATTTCTTAATCAAAAACTATAATAAACTACTCTTAAAATATAGAAATACTTAGCTAAATTACAAGATTTTCTGCCTTAATAAACAAAAAGTATATTTATGATAAAATGGTCATCAACAAAGAATAAGGCACCTAAATAGACTTTCTGTATACATTTCGCTATCTCCAATATAATCGCACTGTATCAAAGTAATGCTCCAAGCCCTCCTTGTGCATGTCATCCACCCACGTTAATGGTTGCATTATTTTTAAAAAATTCACAACAGCAACAATGCACCCCATTCATTGGTAGCTAGAGTATATGTTCATATTCTTGCTGTAAAAAAGATTGCCAGCATGTCTAAGTCATATGTTAGAAGCCGTCCACCCTTTATCGTTGAGCACTGTTGTGATAGCCATGACTTTTATGGCATTTTATTTTCTTATTCAAGAATCCACTCAAGATTCCCCCATAGTCATGTCAAATAGTTTGGGTCAATATTATGTCAAGCACTTGTGCATGGAGTTTACTTTTGTATATTTTTATTTTTACAATGAGTGAAGTCAAAATCTTATAGCAATTGTTTAGTGATATTCTTTGAATATGTTTTATCTGTTTCCCACCAGGCCATTGTATCTGTTTCCAACCAGGTCATTGTGAACCCACCCTTACTAACTTTAGCACCATGTGAGAAAAAAAATCTGTTATTTTTATTTTTACAATGAGTGAAGTCAAAATCTTATAGCAATTGTTTAGTGATATTCTTTGAATATGTTTATCTGTTTCCCACCAGGCCATTGTATCTGTTTCCAACCAGGTCATTGTGAACCCACCCTTACTAACTTTAGCACCATGTGAGGAAAAAAAATCTGTTATTTTTATTTTTATTGTTGCATGAACCCCACCAAAAAATTTAATTTAAATGACTCAGGATTTTTTTGATAACAACCCGATTATTATCGATCGCACAATATTTAGTTGGGTTAGTGATTAGCTATGTACTTTTGCAGCTTGTTTGGGGAGGGGGGTATTTGGAAATAATGTGAGATATATTATTTTTCTATTTTAAGTCAGAATGTTTCCTAAATATCTTTAAATGAACTAAGTTTCCTTTAGTTTGAAAAATAATACACTTCAGTACGGATGGTAATATCCTTTCATCTTTAATGTTAAGGATGTGAAGTTAAAGGGATAAAGATATTAAAAAACCACTATCTAGAATGGACCAACCAAATCAAAAAGGCTTATAATTTTGACAGTTTGGAAGATGATATTGTTAATAAATTAATCTTATGCTGTTTATAAAAAAAATGTATAACAAAATTTATCAATGAATTTAAAGTTACCTAATATATATCCAAACAGTATAAGCAGCTCTTTTAACTACATAAATTCTTAATGTCTTGTAAAGTGCCATTCATTTTTAACTTATGAGCCCATTTTAGGAAATTCATTAGAATAAGAGGTTTTGCTTCCCTAATATCTATTACGTCATATTATTGTGTAGTCTGTTACAATTCCTTTAAATGATTTACATTCATTCCTTACCGTTACAAGTTTTTGTATTAAGTATAATGGCATTAATATTTGTATTTCCCGTGTGACACTACACATTTTGCAGCCTGTAAACACACATGTTCTTCAGCCACATGTGTCATTAATTTGTTTAAGATAATTAAGTAATGTGGACTATGAATTTGATAACTAAGCAAATACATAAAATCTCATTTGTTATCTTGAATTGGTGAGTGTGACATGCCATACTCATATCAGGTTAATTTAATTAAAAAAAAAATACAAAAAAAAACCCCAGCGTTCTAGGGCATATTTTTTTAGATTGCTAAGCACTACTTAAACTGTGGTGACAACTCTGACAAGTTTATTTTGAAAGCTGTTCAATAAATTCATGATTCAAATGTCTATTTTATAAATCTAAAAGAACAACACATTCTATCCACACATGAAATATTCAATTGACAGCCTATGTCTTTTTTGTGTAGGTTGGTGCAGTCTTCTTAATTACAGCACTCAGCTATGTTGTACTACACAAATGTTGCAGCTCTGATCTAAGATATGTTCACTACTACCATTCCATACAAATTACAGTTCCACCCTTCTTTGTTGCTTCCAATTCAGGGAAAGTCAATTCTTAAATACAATCTTGGCTGAGAGAAATCCTTTAAAACATGTGGCACAGATTTTCAACTAGGCAATTTACTTAAATCTTGTTACTCTGTTCTTTTATTGATGATTTTTTGATGCATGCTGTCAAGATTACTGTCAAGGGGCCATTAGAAACAATGTGATTTCTTGCATTCATTTCCCAATTTTCCAAAAATCAAATCAACATTGTAACCATGCATAGTACAAGTAAGAAGTTATCATGATGGCTAGAATATAATTACAATATTCAATGTTTCCCTTTGATGTCACAAACTCAACCGCATTGTGTGGTGGTGTTATAGTGTTGTTGTTTTTTTCTTGTGCTTTCCATTTGTGACCATTGTAGGAAGGTAATCTCCTAAATGTCTATTCCAATCCTTACATTATCTGGTTCTTTGTAACAAGTGTCTCATTCCCTGCTCTGGTTTAGCAATGCTTAATAGTATATTTATGTTTTAAAAAAAATTTCTTATCTGCTACATTGAGAAATTGATAACATCTGACATTGGTGAAATCATCTTAGTCATTATTATTGTGATTCATTGATGCATCATTAAGATTTGCTAATTATCTGAAGCTTGGCTTGTATTGAAAATAAGTGTGTGCTCTATCCCACCAATCTTATTTTGTAATAGTTAATTTTGTAAGAAATATATTGATTTCATTTAATTTGTATATTCAACGAGCCAATTTTCAATTTTGTTTTTGCGGCTGTTGGTCTATATTTTTAGTGTAAATGTACGTCATGAGGATGGACATATTCCAAGGCAGATTCATTTGCTACTGTTCATTATTTTAAAAACTAATTTTTAACAATTTTATATTTCTGCTGTTTGAAGTGTGTTAAGTAAAATTTACCACATATATTTTTTTTCACTAATTTTAAAATACTTTTGTTCACATTTAATTAATTGTGTTATTTTTACCAATGGAACTTGTATAGTGTATTTTTAAGGCTTGAACTTGAATATTTTTTACATAAACTGAACAACTAAGAGGTGACCAGA